CACTGTCTGTTCCTTTGTAAGAGCTTAATAAATATTCATTGAGTGAACAAATGATTAAATGTGAAGGTTATCTGAGAAATGAATACAGCAACACTTGCTACTTACTTCATGGGAAGTGGTGAGAGATGAGCTACTCCACGTATGACAAGAGCTCTCCCAGTTTAGGCTACATATGGCTTATTTGGGTTAAATAAAGATGTTTGCTTTTCTGACAGTTTCTTGATTTCTTACAAAGCCCATATAATTCTTAATTCTTACACTCAATAATTCTTAATAACAAAACCAAACTATGGCTGCAGTGTTTGCAGTTCTTTTCTAATGTATTGCTAGTAAAGGCCATCAGAGGCAGCCGCCTTGTACTGACGTGAGCAGGGCTGGCTGGAGTCATGGTCACTGCTCCTAGAAGTCTCCGTAACAGCACTGAAAGTCAAAACCCTGGAGAAGGCCTTTGTTACCAACAAGAAATGTAGAAAACACCCTGCCCTTTAATCTTCGCATTACCCCAAGGAAAACAAAAAGCAACGCTATCATCTGGCTTCATCTACAGAGGATGCAGAGCCTTCTTTGGACATTCAGATCCTGATTTTAAAGCCTCATATCTTATGATTACATCAAAACATTTAAAGTGTTTTACAGAGCTCTTTTAGCAATATTCACAACAGCTACAAAAATAAATGTTAGTTTCTACATGAATTCTTCTGTAATCACAGGAATGGTTGAAAACCTAGTGATGATGCTTTGTGATCCACAGAGGTAGCCCCACTGTCAACCTGCCTGATCTCCTGAGATAGCCAAAGTACACCCCGAAAGCACCCAAGTTTCCTGTAGCACATCAGATCTGTATAGGTTTGTATTTGCACTTTTTATGTCGTGCTTCCTGTCTGAAAGTGTCCAAGGACATCTCAGAAATAAAATAGAGGCCTGGCAACGGTGACAATGTAAAATATTAAGAATTAACAACCATTAGTAAATTTAAAAAAAGGGAGCAGTAATTTTGCCCTTTGCATTAGTATCTAAATGCCTTTATAAATGATAAAGTATTAATTTTTGTTCTGGAAGTAAGTGTAACTCTTTTGTCCAAGATACAAATCTTGCTGTTATCAAGAGCAATGACAAGTGACTAAATATTCATAAAGCCCTATCTTTGTACCAGGCACTTTACATTCTAAGCACTTCACATGCATTCTATCATTTGGTTCTCACAACTTGAAGAGGTAGGCGGGATTATTGTCCCTCTTTTGTAGATGAAAAAACTGAGGTCCAGAGTTTTACAGAGCCCCCTGCCCAAGGTTACAGAGCCAGGAGGAGATGTGGCCCAGATTTAGACCTGGGTCTCTTTGACTCCAAAGCTCATGCTCTTCATCATTATACTATATTGTCTCCAGAAAAGAAAGACATTATGCCACTATGACTAGATTCGATTCTCCATAGTTTAGGAAGATTGAAGGAACCCCAAATCCCAGAAAAATCAGTGAGCTGAAGTTACCCAGAAATATTTCTGGTCATTAAAGTATCCCCTAAGCACTAGGCCAAAAGTATCAGGGACTTAAATGACACTAGAGTAGAAATACAGGTCAAATCCAATTGTAGTGGATCTCAAGGGAGCATCCAGGCTCTTATCATGTCCTGGAACTTTATTATATTAAATATTGCCTTCTCCAACTACTGGAGGACTCACTGATCCTCCTTCCCTTTCTCCAAACTCTGGTACTTGTCTATACAATTTAACCCTTGATTATATATTATGCTTTATTGTTCACCATTGTTTCATACATGCTAACTTTGTCTCCTCAACAAGATTTTAAACTCCCTGTGACTACAAAGTAAGCTTCATATTTTGTCAGCCTTTCTAGTCTATTAGTGCTTACAGTGTGCACAAACTGGGTGCCTACTGAGCATGCAGAAGGTCTCCAATATAAGTTATTTATTGACTTGTTGAAATAATAGACTGGGGGTCAGCAAACTTTTCCTGTAAAGGACCAAAGAGTAAAATATTTTAGGCTCTGCAGGTTGTCTGGTTTCTGTTGCAGCTACCTAACTCTGTTGTTTAGAGTGAAAGCAGCCATAGATGATACAATGAGCGTGGCTGTGCCCCCAATAAAATTTTATTTACAAATCAGGAAGAGAGCCAGATTTGGCCTGTGGTCTGTCGTTTGTCAGCCCAATAGAACCTATTTATGATAGGATTGAAAGACTAGGCTGGAAAATGTTCTTGAGTCTCAGCATAGCAGCAGATTCTTTACGTCCCTTTGGGCCTCTATTCCATGTTTAGAGTCCTAGCTCCTGACCAAGCATAGTATTCTCCCCAAACCTCTCACCTTGGACTTTAGTTCAGCACAATGTTTAGCAGCTCATTTTCCTCTGGTGGTTCATATATCAGTTTAAAAAGAGAAAAATCAATCACAACGTAAATAGCTGACATGGTAAATTATAACAATAATAAGTAATTAGAAAATTTTTCAAATGCATTCTATCCAGAAGTCCCTGACACTTTTTCTGGGCTGCTTTTTTTGGACTGCCACATAAATCATCCTAGATGGTTTGAAATATACATTTCACCTGGATTAAAAATCTGCAGACAGCCGATCACCCCTGGCAGGGGGCCACCTAAAATGTGGCAAAGATAAACATTTATTTTTTTGAAAGCAACTGCTTTCCTTTGAGAATGAAAGAACTCAACACATGAAAGAAGAAAAAACCTTTCTCTTAAAGTATTCAGCCCTCAGTTTTGATATAACGTTTAAACGTCCTCAGTGGGCTGCTACTCTGACCTAATTTAAATGCTCATGAAGATTGTTGATTATTGTTTCTGGGCTTATCTATGTGCTTGTCAAGAGAGCTGTATTTGACATGGACAGAGGTGGTTCAATAGAGAACCACAAACTGGAATTGGGAAGTCCCTTTTAATTCAATGCCTTTATTCCACAGAGAAATAAAGTGACTTGCCTACAGCTGTGTACTCTGTTCAAATCAAATAATCATAAGGCCATCCCTATATGACCTACAATGAACCAGCAAGTTCCACACACACCTAGTTAACGTGAAAGGCAACTCAGAGTCCTTGTTCTAAGGGACAATCCACTACCAACCCCCTCACACCCCTGCTCTGCCCCAGGACAAAACTCCTTTAATATAAAATCAGTCATATTAAATTACAACTTCTTCTATTATGTGACAGAGTTGCCTGTGTTTGCAGAAATATGGCTGACACTGTCTACACAGCTTCCATTGTCCCTTGTAACAGGAAGATTTGTCTTCTGTCATCTCAACTCACCTTTCCCCATTGTGCTCTCCCTCTTACTAACCAGCTGCTGAGATTAGTTACCACAGTCATGTGTTTGCACTTTAAGTTTATTATCTCTTGATGTGAAATTAAAGGCACTTCCTCATGTCTTCTGGGCATTGGGAAGCAAATAAAAAGATGTTATCATAGAGATCTTCTAGGCCCACTAAGCCTTTACCTGACAGCAAAATGAACAGATTTTATGGGATTATTCATAGGAATAGTATGAACTGTTGAAAAAAAAAAGTTTAAAAAAACTTTCCATTTTTTTCTATTTCCTTAGAATGTGAACTCAGAAAGATCAAGACTTGCTATTGTATGCTCTTTTATCCCAATTTGGATTTCAATATTCTATAAATTATGAGCTCTTAAAAAAAAAAGTTGACATTTAATGAATAAATTCATCTAAGTCATGATTTAGTTCAATAGAATAAGCATTTACTAAATCTCCATTCTGCACAAGGCATTGAACCAAATGCTAGGGAGACAACTAGGGTATATAGGTGCTCCCTGAGAAGATGGAAAGGTAGACTTTGTCCATAGGCCCCAAGACTCCGGGATATTTCTTTACAAAAGAAATGTTAAAGGTTTATGGAAAGATTTTAACAAAAATGTATATCCAGTTGTGCATACACCAGAGTGATAAATTTCACCCTCCCCCCAAGTTTAAAGAGCAAATTCCTCATCACAAGACTTTCCAAATACCCACTGATCTCATCAGAAAAGACTTTAAGTACTGAGAAACTGTCAAGCTCATTGTAGTGGATACACGTTTTCTAAACTTCTAATTCTGACATAAAACTTCAAAAATTACCATGGGCAACAATAATTGTCTGTTTTCCTGAAAGTGGCAGGTGCACATTATTTTCAAAAATTGTCTGTCAAATATCTATCTAAATAACCGTATTTTGTCCATTTTTCTTTCACCTAAAAAGAGTGTTCCATGAAAATAAAAATAAAAACACTAGTTCCGCTTGCAATTTAAGCAGGGAAGTGTTTTCCTGGAGATAAATATGGAGCTTCGGTATTCAGCACATGTGCTTTACGAATACTTCTTTTTCTTTTTTTTCACACAGAATTTTTTAAATGTTCCTAAGAGTTGAACGTCAATGAAATTAATACTTTTTACCGCTTTATCAAGACCATTTTCAAGTGACACCGGCTTTCAGTTTGGTGCCTCTACTTTGATTCACGCAGACACCTGCACTTTTACTTACCATTGTTTTTACATCATTGGTGCAAATATCAACACAAAGAAAGAGGCCAGTGAGTCTTATGATTGTCATAAAAGTGGTTTTGACGTGACAGATCCCTTGAAAGAGTCTCAGGAACCCCCGGGGGGTTCCAGGACCACACTTTGACAATCAATGGATATCAGAGCATACAGAAATCAGAGCTCTTTCTCTTCTGTTAACGCTTGAGGATTGTTTGTTATTGTAGGTTCGATCACTGAGCGCCAAAGAAAAGACACGGCAAGGCGTCGAACACACCCAAGAGATAAAACTTATCGCGCGTGCACTCAAAGGCTCACTTCGGAAGAAAACAGTTCTTTGGAAGGAGAAGGGATTCAGACCCCCGGCCGGGCTTGCGGTTGCTAGTGGCAACGATCGTCAGCGGCTATCGATTAGTAGCGTCTTGCGTCCCTCGTGGAAGGAGGGGGCGGGGTGGTTGGAGCGGGCGGGGATGGCTGGAGGAGGCAGGCTTCCCCGGACGTGTGGTTGCCGCCTGTTCTCGGTGGCGAGGTGGCTCGTTTGTTCTGTGATCTATTAGAGTGGCTTCTGAGGGCCCCGGGTTGATGTCGGGGAGGGAGGAAAGATGGCGGCCGTAGCGGCGTGCGGCCTGGTGGGGAAGGGACGCGACATCAGCTTGGCTGCCCTGCAGCACCACGACCCCTATATCAACCGCATCGTAGACGTGGCCAGCCAAGTGGCTCTGTACACTTTCGGCCATCGGGCCAACGAGTGGGTGCGTGTGGACGCGACGGGCCGTGCAGGCAGGGCTGGGGTGGGGATGGGGTCGTCAGACCAGGGCTCGAGCCCCCGTACGGGGAGGAGTCGCCGCGCCTCGGCGGTGGATGGAGGTGGATGGAGGTGGATGGTGCTGGGTCGCGGGCTCGAGGCCTAAGTTGCGGAGATTAGAGCCCTGGGCCCTGAGATTTGAGAGAGAGGGAGGCGGATCTGTGAAACCACCTAAAACTGGGGAAAGACTTAAATATCTAAGATACGTTGGGAGACCAGAGCGGTCGGGGACGGGACCCTGAGAGCGGAAGAGAGGACCTGATGCCTCGAGTCCGGAAGACTGATGTACTCGGAGGAAGTAAAGCGAGGTTCTGTTACAGGAAAACCGTGGCTATAGAGGAGGCAGGCATAGGGACGAATAAAAGAGAGTTCTGATTCTGGAACTTCAGTCTTAGGTGGGACGAAGAGAAATCAAAACTTGATAGAAGGGGAGAAATCTGAACTTGCGAACTCGAGAAATACACCAAGAAAAAAAGCAAATATCGGGAAATAAAAGACAAAATAGGGCTAAGTCTAACACTTAAAAAGAGGCTGACTCTCTTGGAAAGATTATTACACCACAGCCCACCAGACCAAAAATGAATTTGATAGTTAAGTCCATTGGGAGCCGAAGTATTTTAATGTGTTCAAAGCAGAATCCCAATAAATAAATAGCAATGGAATGAAATTGTTTTTCTCACCATCAGAATAGAGTAAGAGCATAAGACACTTAAGTCCTGCTGCAGGAATTACTGCATGTAATTTCGTAACCCACCCACTTGAATGTAGAGAGATGGAATTTTTTCTCTTTACCTTATAGTGATTTTTGTACAAATAATATTAACCCGTCAATTATATCACCATCCATCCATTACTTTTAAATAAGTTACAAAGCGGTATAAAGCACTGAGTCTGGATGAATGGATTGATTTCAGATGAGTTTTTAAAATTTCTCCAGGACAGTAACAAACAAATTTAAGCAAGAAAAATATCCATACGGTACAAATTCATATATTTTTAAACACTCGTCTTCATTTAAACAGCCTACTTATTCACCTGAAAATCACTAACAAAAAAAGATAAAAAGTTAAGTCCTAAAATGGAATAGAAGAGAACCTGCCCTAAAATTTTAAGGGAAGTTGCTGAAATGGGGCAACGAATTTAAGGCTGCTCTCCTAGTAGCCAAGGGAAAAAAAAAACCGAGAGCACTTTAATATTCGTTCATTATGTAACAGGAAGTATACCACTTGGTCAAGAGAGAGGTTATTGCCCTCTAGTTTTCAGAGGAATTTACTGCATGGGTCTTTAAATAAAGGACATCAAGCAACATAGTGGACAATTTCATCAATGGCAACTTTTAAATAATGCAAAAATATTCTGCATACAGCTATTATACTGCTCAATAGAAAAATGCCAAAGGCTTAATGTCGTAATTCTGTCAATGTAATTCTGTGGTAGAGATAAGGATCAAGGATGTACGGTTCTATAAACTGACGCACTAAGATAAGAGTCTGGAGAATCCTGAGAAATTAACATGTAGAGGAGAGCATTCCTCTTGAATAACAATTGTTTCCTATAGGCTTTTGACAGGATTTATGAGATAGAGATCTGTTAAAATAGTTACAGAGCTTTATTAGCTACCCAATGAAGCCCTCCTACTAAAGCCTCATGAAAAGGCAGAAGTGTCACAATGCATTATTTACAGGATTGTGTTTTCCTGCTTTCTGGACATGTTGCCTTCAGACAGGGCTTAATTCATTCAGTAAAAGGTCATTCTTTCAAATTACTAATCTTCAAGGCTGTGCTAGCTGGAAAAAAAAAGACCCAGTTTAGCTGCAGAGCAGTTGCTGGGGATAAACAAATTGTCACCATTGTCTCTATATGCCATCACTCAGGCCTTCTGGATGGAGCCTTTTGAATATAAACCTAATAAACGTGTAAAGAACATTCTTGAGAATGGAGGAGAAAGTGTATGCAAGAAGGCAGGTGGAATGTAAAGGAGGGGAGTTGTTATGCTGAAATTGTTGAAGAATGACTTCATGCATTCAGAGCAGGAGGAATTAGGAAGGAAGAGTAGACAGAAAATGAGTTGCTTTAAGGAGGGATTGAGAAAGATTATATCATGACTGGAATAGGAATTTTAGAAGTAGGCCTACTTCCCAGTACCAGGAAAGACCACTTCCCCCAACTACCTATGTGCCAAAGAATGTAACCCTGGCATTATTTTTACCTCTTAGCTCTTGGAGCAGTAGTTCTTAACTGGAGCTGATTTTGCCTCCAAGCAACATTTGACAGTGTCTGGAGAAAATTTTTGTTTGTCTCACTGAGAGGTTGTCATACTGGCATCTAGAGTGTAGAGGCCAGGGATGCTACTAAATGTCCTACAGAAGTGCTGAGCTTGAGAAACTGCCTTAGTGATTAGTGTCCTGTTGATTGTAGGTAATGATTTTCTGAATTCTGTGTATCATAATCTCTGGTTATGAGGCCCAAATATTTGATGTCTATTGAAAGTTTCACAGTTGACTTGATGCTTCATATGTGACAGGCAGATTTAGAGGGTAAGTGATTTTAACAGTCAGTAAGACGTAGATTGCTTTGAGTTTTAAAGGTGTCAAATAGTGTACTGAGTCTCAATAATTTGCAAACTAGCACTAATTTATATTTCACTGTATTATTTTAAATTTTGAAATGCTTAATTTTTTAGCACCTGTTGGATTATTTTTATAGTAGGGCGTAATATTAAATCATTAAATTGTACTTTTAAATTTTAGGCTAAAATCCCCCAGAGCTGTGAACTACTACTTTAACATAAAAGTCCTCCTTACGTAGAGGCCCTAAGAACAGCTTGTAAAATCTGGTTTTAACTATTCCCCATACTTCCAACCCTGGGCTTTGCCCAGAAAGGAAAAACTAAAAAATATGATTCCCTAGGATAATGTATGACTTTGAGCTTTTGCAGCCATAATAGACCAGATTTTTACATTTCTAAAGCCCTTTTTATCCAGGTGTCATAGAGCCTTTGATGAAAAAATATGGTTTTTTGTTTTTTGGGTTTTTTTTTCATCAAAAGACCTGAGTGATGTAGGCTGGTTATTTCTTTACAGTAGAGAAATGGAGACATAGAATACTAAATTAGCCCAGTATGACCTGGCAAGAACCCCACTCCAGGTCCAATATTCTAATCACTGAAACACATTTTTTTTCTGTGAATAAACTCATGCTTTTTGTGTGTAATGGTGTATAAAATTAGTTTTAAGACTTACTTGTTACAAGTTAGAGAATAATTTCAGGAGAAGCATACCTTTCTGATTCTAGACTTTTCAAAACAAATTGGGCATTAATTTTTTTTTTCTTAAAGAAAAGGTAATTTCTATGACTACTTCATTAAGGAAGAAAGGAAACAAGTCAAAAGATATTAGCTTTATGTATGCCGATACATATAAATACCCTGATTTGGGTCTCTAAGATGAAACAGTCCAAGGTCAAATACTGGAAGACAGGAAAGGGTTTTGGCCTAGTAGCAAGAGATTCTGACTGCCTGTAGGTTCTAAGTCTTAGTTCCATCACTTATATCTTGGCTTCAGTTTCCTAACAATCTAATAAATAATACCAAATATTTAATTTTTACGAATTTATTCTAAAGGCATATGGACTAGTAAATACTTGCCAACTGTACTAGTTAAACTTCAGGGACACCCACAAATCCTTAGATTGTTTGGGAAGCATGTATTGTACTATAGTGGCCATTTTCTCAATGATTAATATTACGGTTTGAGTTTAAGTAATTCTTAGACCTTTAAGTTCACCCAGGATATACATTTCTCCCCAGATAGCAATTAAAACCATGTGTTTACAAAGAAAGATAAATAATAATGTTTCAGTATATTCTTTTTTCATTTAGACTTGGTATTTTTCAAAATAGTGGCAAATGGGCCACATTTGAGAAATAAGGATACTTTCACAGTACATTAAAGTGATTTATACAAATCTCATCGTAAATCCAGTTTAAAAATGAATCTCCTAACTTCCTTATATTAGAGAAAAGACTGGCTAAAACTGTTTTAACTTATAAATTCTTTTTTTCTAATTGTATATTCTATAATAATGAGGATTAAGAATCTCGTTACTAAGTAATTTACCCTTAATGGCTATTTGCTCTTAAAAAGCAATGGTGGTGGTTGATATAATTTGGGCCATAGTGGATTTTGTTTTCATGACTTTCGATATAGTTTTGTAGGCAGAGAATATGTTAGTGAACTAAGGCAGTGGTTCTTACATCGCATGCATCCAAATCACCTGGGTAGCTTAACAAAATTGAGAGATTGCTGGGTAGTTTTCAGTTCAGTAGGTCTTGGGAGGGACCCAATCATTTGCATTTGTAACAAGTTCCCAAACAGTGCTTGCTGCTGCTGCTGAGGGGACCCATTGAACTAGGGGACCAGTTGATCTATGAGACCCACTGAACTACACTGACCAAAAAGATTGCTGAGATTACTTGAGCTTGTGAAAGAATCGTGCTTCCATTTTTGTGTGTGTGTACCTTTTAAAAATTATCATTTTAATATGATAGCTTTGTTCTTAAAGAGTGTATTTTTCACCAAAATTACACAGTACTTGAACTTTGATTTTGGTAATGAGTATTAATAGTAAAATATTGTGAAGTTGAATAGAATGCTGAAATTAAACCGTGTAAAAAGCAGACATACATTTTAATTTCTGAGTTATAATAGTCCAATTACTAGTTAATCAAACAAACAGGTACTTAAATTTTTTTTTAGAATGCAGTGTACCAATGAACATTTTTGTTAAGGCCTGGGCTCCTGCCTTTGTTGAAATGGAAAAGAGCTTTTCCAAATGAACTAAAACGATAGCTTATCATTTTAACTTTACCACTTCTCCCAGTTTCTTTCAGGCAGATTTTTCGTGTCCTAGCTTGGTAATGTTTCTAACTTTTTTCAAAAATCAGAACTTGACTCTAAATATTACATATCCAGTAGTGCTTAATTGCCTGAAAACTACAGCACCATTGCTGTCTTCTATGTAATAGTCAAGTAGAGTTATTGGCAGCTATCTGCTCTCCTAGGTGACAGAATAAAACCAGTGATTTCTGCAGCTTGCCATATACCCAGTTCAGAGGGTAAATGAAAAAAAAGGCAGCACACTTATTATAATCACTTCTTTCTAATGAAATCCATGGAGCACATTTATTTTCTTATTGTTTCAGCCAGAAGGAGCTATGCAAGTAGAATGCTTCTATACAATGAGTGCTGTCATTTATCACTGTATTTGGTAAAGAGAAATAATGATGGTTTATTTTGTAAACGACGAAAGGATGAGGACTGCATCCTGCTGCTTAGTCAGC